TCCCATATACCTCTCACCTATTGCTCCCCTCAGTTTCCCCTACCCCTCAGTTTCCCCTACCCCTCAGTTTCCCCTACCCTTCAGTTTCCCCTACCCCTCAGTTTCCCCTATGTTAACATCTTGCATTAGTGTGGTATATTTGTTACATTTGATGAGCCAATACTGATACACTGTTATTGACTAAAGTTTACATTAGGGTTCATTCACTCCTTGTATTGTTCATTCTGTGTACAATTGACCAATGTATAATGACATGCATCTGTCCTTACTGTATCATATAGAATAGTTTCACTGCCCTAAAAATCCCGTGTTCCACGTATTCATCCTTCCCTCCCTCCCCCCATATCACTGGCAGACACTGATCTTTTAACTGTTTCCATAGTTTTGCCTTTTTTAAGAATGTCATATAGTTGGAATTCAACTATAGTTTTTAATTAACTAGGTTTAACTGTTTTTTTGTGTGTGCATGTGAAAAGTCATACAAGCTTTGGTAACTTGTAATTTTAGCCAATTAAGAGTTATTAAAATCTTACTTTGGATTTGTGTGAAGAACTATTAGAGAACAGGAGTCCAGACTGTTCTGAATAACCAAAAACTAAATAACAGTAAATCTCACAGGAATGTGTTCTTGGTGCAGTGATATGAAATAATCGCCAGGTGATCTTTCTGTTGCAGGGTGGAAGATGTCTATGGATGTGACATTTCTGGGGACGGGCGCAGCATACCCATCCCCAACTCGGGGTGCCTCTGCTGTGGTCCTTCGGTGTGAGGGCGAGTGCTGGCTCTTTGACTGTGGGGAGGGAACACAGACACAGCTTATGAAAAGCCAACTTAAAGCAGGTTAGTGTGCATTCAGCTGTCTCAGTGAGATGATCTTTTGTTCTTCATTTTCTTGGCTCTCCTTGGGCCTTTTGTTTGGAAACGGCTCTGACAGTTGCATCCCACTTCAGTGCTAGAGCCCTGGAAAGCCTTGGAAGGCCCTTGGGCATTCAGCCATGCCCACTAAACTTTATTATTATTTGCTTTTCATTCATCCTGTAGATGTTGAGAGCAAGGATTTATGTAGGCCTGGGGGTGGAGAATGGAATGGGATACATCAGGCATGTTCGATGGACACTGCCCTAGTAGGGGATCAGTATACATACTTATTTCCACCAGGAGATAGTTGTCATGAGAAGATGCAAAGGACAGTAGATGTTCAGAGGAGGGAAATGCTCTTTTCTACTTGGGATTATCAGGTTAGGCATCCTAGAGAATTTGACCCGTGAGTTGTTGGAGGAGGAGGAATTCTCTGGGCTGGGGAGAAGAAGGGCATTCCAGCCAGAGGGAATGGAGTGAGCAAAGGCCAGCACCTGGAGAAGGAGTCGTCCATTGGTGAAAAGCCTCAGCCCAGATTCAGGCAGACCTGGAGTCTAGTCCCGGCTATGTCTCAGGCTTGCAACCTTAGCAGATCAGCAAACTGAAATGTTACTTTCCTCATCTTGAAAACGGGGATAAAAACTCTACTAAGAAGGGGTGTTATGGGAATTATAACATGTGGTTGCTTCCTTCTCCGTGTGTTTATCTCCTTCTCATCAGTTAAATTTTAGGTCAAATGCCATCTCCTCAGAGGCTTTTCCCGAGCCTTCTGGGTTAAGAAGTTCCTTCCTTGGCCCAGTCCTTCTATTGTTTATCTCCTTCTCATCAGTTAAATTTTAGGTCAAATGCCATCTCCTCAGAGGCTTTTCCTGAGCCTTCTGGGTTAAGAAGTTCCTTCCTTGGCCCAGTCCTTCTATTTTGTCCTATTTTTATTGACTTCTAAGCATCATCAGTATCTGGAATTATGTTATTTAAATAGTTTATTTCTGTGTCCTCTGTCTCCCTGTACTATAAAGTACAATGATCACTTATGTACCTAGTAGATACTTAGTAAATTCTGTTCAGTTAGTGAATTATGAAGACATTCAGCAATTTAGTACAGTGCCTCTCACTTATTAGGTCTTGATGAATAACAGTTATTGAAGTTATTATTTCTACAACTCATCACAATACATAGCACCTGATGACTGAAGGAAAGATAATTCTAGTGTCCAAGGATCTCTTGACCTAGTAATGGAAACTGACATACAAACAGACTGTCATTAATCATGGATGATAAGTAGAATAATGGAGGTGTTTTAATGGAGGTGTTTTATAAGTACTTTTGGAACACAAAGGAGGGGGATGCTAACTGTGCCTCTGTGTTCAGAGAAGGCATCCCAGAGATGGTAACATCTGAGCTAGGATCTAAAAGACAAATAGAAATTTCTCTGGGGAGAGAAGTGAGGATGGACATTCAAGGAACAGACAACAAAGTGAGCAACAAGTAAGGGAATTTCCAGGAAAGAAATGGCCTATGGGGAATACTGAGTACTTGGCTAGGCTAGATGGGAGCTAAGAATGCTGAAAAGGCAAGTGAGGTCAGACTATTAAGTCCTCTGCGGCATGGTAAGTATTTGGACCTTATTATTCTGCTGGCAATAAGAGATCATTAAATGTTTTTAAGTAGGGGTATCATGTGATCTGACTTGTGTTTTAGGACAGTTTTCTGATGGCAAATGTATCGGGAGAGAGAATAGCATCAGAGAGATCAGTTTCAAGGCAGTTGCATTCATTTGAAATAGAAAGAGAGAGAGAGAGAGAGACTAATAGACAGAAGGGGAATGTTGAAGCAGGAAGTAGTGATTGGAATGGAAATAAGAAACTCAATTTAAGAGGGACTCGTAGAGCCAACAGGAGATGAAGGTGATGGCTGACTGAATGCCTACAGTATGAGGAAGGGAAGAATTTTTACAAGTTATTGATGGTGATGTCCTAGACCTAGATAGGGAGCCAGGAAAAGACCTGTTGGAAGAAGGAGCTAATGCATATTGTTTGGGACATGTGGCCTTAGATGTACACAGGTCAACCCTAATTACATACTGTCTTGTGTTGAAACCCTGAGGTAAATCAGATACTAGGCTTTATTCCCCTTGGTTCACACGGGGATTCATTTCATGAGAGCCCTTAGGGTAGGTACAGGCCAGAGTGAAGGCTGTGATAGTTAACATTTTAGAGAGTGGGGGTTGAGGGGGCAGGGTGGATTAAAATAGAAAGAAGAAACTGTTAAGTGTGGGTACCAGAGGTTTGGGTGTGGCAGTGTCTTGACTTTTTATTTAATACAGTGGTCTACCCTTACCCACGGGTGATATGTTCTGAGACCTCCAGTGGATGCCTGAAACTGCAGGAAGTACTGAACCCAATTGCTGTCAATCTGAACACATTTCTGTTTATGTCTTCCACCCACAAATTTAATGCCTTTTTCATCTTGACTAGGTACTTATCATGCACTGTGGCTTTAACTTTTGCAGTTTGAGGTGCAATAGCAAAACTAGCACGAATTTCTTTTTCTTCACAATTTCACAGCTGGAAGATTTGTTCTTACCATAGATCTTAGCAACCTCAGTATATGACTTTTTTATTTCCTTATTAAGTTAAGAACTTTCACATTTTCACTTAAAGGAAGCACTTTACGGCTTCTCTTTGGCATATGCAAATTGCCAGTATTGCTACTCTTATACTCTGGAGCCATAATTAAGGAAAATAAGGGTTTTTTGGGGTTTTTTTTTTGTGTGTGTGTGACCGGCAAGGGGATCGCAACCCTTGGTGTGGTGTCGCCCGATTGCTACTCTTATACTCTGGAGCCATAATTAAGGAAAATAAGGGTTTTTTGGGGTTTTTTTGTGTGTGTGTGTGACCGGCAAGGGGATCGCAACCCTTGGTGTGGTGTCGCCCGCAGTGAGTGCACCGGCCAGCGCAGTGAGCGCACCGGCCAGTCCTATATAGGATCCGAACCCGCGGCGGGAGCATTGCTGCGCTCCCAGCGCTGCACTCTCCCGAGGTGCCACGGGGCCGGCCCAAGGAAAATAAGGGTTACTTGAACACAAGCACTGGGATACCATGACAGTCAATCTGATAATTGAGACAGCTTCTGAGCGACTAAAAGGCAGGTAGTGTACACAGCATGGATGTGCTGGACAAAGGGATGATTCATGTTCCAGGCAAGACTTCATCATGCTACTCAGAATGGCACACAATTTAAAATTTATGAATTATTTATTATTGGAATTTTCTATTTAATATTTTTGGACCATGGTTGACTGTGGGTAACTGAAGTCATGGAAAGCAAAACTACAGATAAGGGGTGATTACAGTACCTATGTCAGTTATCTAATGCTGCATAACAGATTACAGGTTTAGTGACTTATTTGCATTTATTATCTCATAGTTCCTGTGGGTCAGGGAGTTGGGACCTGGCTTAGCCGGGTTCTCTGCTTCAGATTCTCGCAAGGCTACAGTCCAGGTGTTAGCTAGGGTTACAGTCTCATCAGAGGCTCAACTGGGGAAGATTCTGCTTCTAAGCTCACTTGGGTTGTTGGCAGAATCCTTACAGTCATAGGACAGGCTGCCCTGAGCTCCTAGAGGCCTCCTGCAGTTCTTTGCCATGTGGGTTTCTGCTTCATGGTAGCTAGTTTCCTCACTGCCAGCAAGGGAGAAAGTGACTCTGGAACAAGTCTGCTAGCAAGATGGAGTCTTATAAACCTTAATGTAATCATATTGTATCCCTGTGCTGCCTTCTAGTGCTTAGAAGCAAGTCACGAGTCCCACCTGCACTCAAGGGAAGGGGATTTATAAGACGTGAACTCCAGGAGGTGGGGACCATGGGGTCCACTGCAATACCCTTCTCCAATATTTTGTATTTTATAGCTCCTTAATATATGCTTTATATAACAGTTGGCAAAGCTAAGCCTGGCAAAA